GCAGAACTCGCGCCAGAGAAAAATGTCATATACAGTAAGACACCAGGAACATGGAAAGCATTAAAAAAAATATCTATAAAAATTTCGAAGTTATGAGAGTTTAAATTTTGCACTTTGACTCTATTTATTTCTATTGGAAAAATAAGTTTTTTTGCTACAGGCTATTATAAGAGGAAATAAGGAAGCTCTATCCCAAATTGTAACTCTTTTCAATGATATTTTTGGCTTTTATTGGCAAAATTTTTGTACCTTTACTAAATAATTGTAAAAAAAACTTATACAAGATCATCAGTATCATTAAATAGATTTAAAAAAATGTGAAATGTCAAAAAATAAATGTCAAAATCTTTTGACAGATAGAATTTTTTTAACATTTTTTCCATGTTACTGGTATCTTATCTTATTTGAAATTTTTCTCTGGGGCGCAAGTTTAGGCGCAACCTGTATGTTTTGTGCTGGAAACCAAAAATTATGTTAAAACTATTTTTCTGTTACATTTTTATTTGTCCTACACCTAAAAGTGATATTAGTTTTTATTTTTTGGTGTAATGTAGAATCTATTTTTTGTCTGTAGTAATATCATAAGTGGTAAAATTTTGTCGGCAAAATTTTCAGATTGTACGAGAGTTTGTTACATAGCAATTTATCGAGTGACATTGTTAGAAAAACCTCGAGTCGCAGACGAGAGGTTTTTGAACAATGTCATGAGCTAAATTGGCAACAAAAACTCGAGTAATTCAATCGAAAAATTTTGCCAGACCAAATTTTACCACGAATGGTATTCGGAGGACTATTTCATGAATAAAACTACACATTCAAGTCTACAACTATTTATTCTCAATATTAAATGTACAATTATTGTAAACAATTTTGCTGGAAATGTCGTTATTTTCACTTCTGACAGACGTTTCATGAGTTTCTGATTGTATTGTTGATGAGGTACCTCGTAAGCTCTCTAAACGCCCAGTCTTGTAAAATTTCTGCTAGACGATCTATTGGAGTATCGGCAGTCAGCTCATAATTTCTTTCTTCGCAGAACTGAGAGAATTGCTTCCATATACAAGCCTTCGTCTTCATCTATTTTGGGGAACACTTTTTGAACTTGCAAGTGTAATGTCCCAAATCGCGTGTTTATAACTGTCAAAATATTTAAAACGACAAAAGTTGTTTAGACTGTTACCAGGGGGTAAAATTTTATCACTTGAAAACTGGCTTGGTTTCGATTTTGTTCGTAAATATCCTTCACTCACTGGCTCTAAATATGAGGTGAAGGCGATAAAATTTTGCTTTCATCAATTTTACCGATTGAAATTTTTAACTCATTGTTGAATGACGAGATGCTATTGGCCGAAATGTAAATGAATGAAATACCCAGTAAAAAAAATAAAGCTCTGATTTCGTTTCGACAAAAATAACTGTTTCACAGATTAAAAAAGTGATGGTTCAACTCTCAACGATTTACTTTGTTTGTATTGCCATACCAACATTCACAAGTGTTTCAAAAATGGCAAATTATAGAATTACCATACAAATTAAACACCCGCAGGAGTGTCATAGTCATAACCCCTTGATATATAGATGTTACAATTAAAAAAATATTTTAGTGCCGTTTCATAGCTTGCAAAAGCCTTGTCCTGTTCTTAGCATGTGAAGCTGCTTTACGCCGAGTCATTTTGTCTTGTTTTTTGTGTTCCATAGTTCGGTAAAAAGAATTCGTAATAACTTGAATTACGTTTGCATCACTTCTTTACTTGCTGGCACAAACGCCAGCCTCAATTATGCAAAGTAAGGATTTAATGTGAGGTTTGCAAAGATATTTAAATGGGGAGAGAATATAATTGGAGTGTTGTTTCCACAGCTTTGCTGAGGATCCGTTTCGGAATTGCCAACGAAATTCTAATTGCTGTGCTACTAGAACACAGGGTGCATCTGCTGATGCATAAACTCTCGGAAATCCCCGTCACACAAGGATAATTAATGTAGACACTCTTTTGTGAAAATTATTAATTTCGTGAGCAAAAAGCAATTATTATTTTGGCGGCAAGTCGCGCATGTCCTTGTCGTGCAAACGTATCGTTTTCCGGGGCAATTATTTCCTTAATGATACGAAACCTCATTCGATGTTATGATAATACCCTTAAGGTTGGCTGGTCGCGTATATCAGAGGGATAGAATTTGTCACTAGACACTAACGAACTTGGCTCCCTTGGAAACCTGAAACTGAGAAAGTGCCACAATCAGTGTAAGCGGAGGCCATGTAACGAGCTCATCTGTTCATCTCAAACTTGACTAACATAAATTCCGGAAATTGCAAGGACTTGAGGAATTGTCCCTTTCGAGATCGATTTCGATTTCTTGCACGCCTCGTGACACCAAAATGAACAAATAGTGGTTGTGTTCAAGTTATGCGTAGCTTATCGCGTAATCTCTTATTCAGACAGCAAGTGTGTAAACTTTGTCTAATCTACGCTGGCTGTACACTGACTTGTACAGATTATCAAAGTCCCAACTCACGGCTTTATCTCGAGTTGTGCTGTACTGTTTTCACACTCATTCCCGCGTTGCATGGGGGCACACGTGCCTCTCAACTCTGACAAACTTTTATCACATTTCTCAACTTGGTAATTTGCCCCCTGACAGTGTCTTGACATTGATCCTGAAAACTTTCTCGACAAACTGTTGAACGCTCCAAACCCGAAATCGGGTTTATTATAAATGAACTTCGATGATTCCAAACACTTTTCCACATTTATTTATTTAGAGGGAAGGAATATCTTTAAAAATTTCCAAACGAGGCTTCTGAAAGTAAAATATGTAACGACATTCCTCACATAATTTAAAACAGAATTTCAGACCAGTCCTCACAACCAGTTATAAGTCTTAAAATTATTTTTATTACAGTTGAATCAACAAATATTTCAGTGTTTCTGTTAATTAATAGTATATGGTATCACAAGGTAGAGAAGAGATTTTTTATAACCTAGATGCGTAACATCGAGGGAAATAATAAATGCGAGGCTATAAAAATCTTCTCTAACGTGTTTTATATAACATTTTTTTACTACTAGCACATTTATTTTCACCCAAAAATACAACGGTTAAAAATATAATCCTACGTTATGGATATGTTGCCTCAGTTGCAATATGTCGTAATTCACAAATACTATTTTTGTTAATTCACTACAATTCACTACAATAATTAATTACTTACCTGAGTTGTTAACTTAAGTTGGTCATTTTGGTAGTTCTGCAAATATAAATTTTCTAACTTCATAATACTATAAAATATTTGTTAAAATAACAAGGAAACTCCAAAGAAAAGGGAAAGTGTTAAAATTTGCCTCACCACCGAAAGTATTTTAACAAGAAATAAACCTGTTTGTTGTTTTGACATAGAAAGAAGTATTAGAGTTGGGGTTATTCTGATGTTTTTAATGACGAAATTTAAGTTTTTTAAACTCAAAAGGTTTCTCAGTTTTAAAATGTTTATAAAGGGGTGACTGTTTTGCAAGCATAAAAAAATCAGAACACATTTTCATTAAAACAATTTTAAAATACATAGTAATATATTATACAGGGACATTTTTTTAACTTTGTACATAAAATTTGTTTTCTTATTATGAGCGTGTGGATCAATTAATAATTCGAAAGACGTACCAGATAGTTCTTTTCAATATTTGTCACGCTATTTATCTCACTTTAACACATGCGATTAAAGTAACGCAGAGCTAGTAACGTACGTCAAAAGTGTGTTTTACCGTCACGTAGGTCATTTGTAATTTCATTATTAAGGGGAAAAACTGGTTTGAGGCTAATATTTATATACTTTATATCATCGTAACAATCGTAATTCAAGCCCTATAAAAATCCTAATGCCAGGGAGAAGCTTTAATTTTTGACTTTAGTACCAAAATGTCAGAAGCTGTCTAATGTCAAAAACATACGGAGGTCATGTTGTGTTCTTGATTCACACTACCCCCACCACCAATTTAAAAAGAAATAAACTTTAGTCCTATATTATATCTTCATTTCTTACTGTGAAGGGTACTGTAATTGTTCTGTTTGTCTAATCACAATCTTCATTTAAATAAACCAAATTTTTATTTTGTTGCTCTTAAATATTCAGTGATAGTCTCAGTAGTTTGTCTAACTATCGAGACTGTCATTGAATGAGAGTAATAAATTGATCTGTTTTTTAAACTGAACATAGGGCTATGTTCAGAGTTAAAAAAATCTCCCTGTATAGCTCTCATTTCCACGCAGTGGCGAGTGTTAAAACGCACGAGTATCACATATACTTTTTCTCACCATCAATGTGATTAACCCATTAATATGTACTTTTGGGATTTTATTTTTCAAATTTTTGTCTTCGCTGTAATTTATTGTACAAGTTGTAAAAATTCTTTATTTACTGAAATTTATTTTATTTTTATTATATTTTATTTTATTATATTTTATTTTTAATTATGAAAATAGTATTATGACCCTACTGTTTGCCAATTTTCAGTCTACTGTAACAAAGCTAGAAAAACGTTTACTTTGTTGAACCTTCACTCCAAATTCTTCTCGTATCAGTGCATGTCGCCAACATTTACACCTACCAAGTGCCCTCGCCTTCTTCAATCAGCGTGTTCCATCCATCTCTCCGAACGCTGCTAACCTTCTAAAACAACATTAAAAATTCTCCCATTTTTAAAAGCCTCCCTAAATTCAGCTTTGGAAATGTCACCGGTTGAAAAACGGCGTGTCAGACGAACGGAGCAGGTCTAAAACCATCGTGGGTTTGCAACGCCGCCTCCCATGAAACATTGATGAGCATTTTGACGGCAGCGTTGCACTGCATATCCAATTTTTGCGGCTGTTTTATTAATCTAACACTGCGGAACCCCCATCTCGAGAGCGTTATCACATTCGAAAAGCTTGACTGAAGCATTTTATGGAGCGACTGACAGGAATGCAGGGAAATTAATGGCCGATAAGAAAGACACGAAAATGCTGAACGAGGTTTATTCGTAACCAATATAATATATCATAAAAATGAGCTAAAACTCTTCTTTTACGCATACTTTCGCCGCGGCGAGGTCGCGTATGCTTTCCAGAGTCGCCAATTGGGCACTGTTGCATTCATTTTGGTTCCGGAACCAACGAATTGCAGTTTCAAGACTTTGGTAGGCTTCCACGTTCGAGGGTTCTTCGGTTATTTCGTCTTGTCTGTCGTCAAAATTAAATTCTTCATATTCGATTGAGTTGTAACAAAAGTCTTTATCGCTTTCGAGCCATTGGATTATCTCCATTGAGTTTGTTTCTTCTAATCCGGTAATCTTTTGAGCTATTGCAACTATTTCCACTATTCCGTCATGGTTCAGCTCGCTTTCATTCCTTACGTCTGATATTAACCTTGTCCAGGATTGTACTATGTCGGTTCTGGGAATGGAATCCCACGCTTTACTGATTACTGAAATACTTTCCGTTAGAGCGAATTCTTCCAAGAATTGTTTAACAGGACACGGTGACTTTGAAAGTAACAATTCAAGAAGGTTTCTCCTATATTTAATTTTCAGTTCATTTATTACTAAATCCATTGGCTGGATTAATGAGTCTTCAGGTACTATAAACACTTCAAAATTATTCCGGTCTTTGATTAGTGTTTCCCGAGGTGGATGCCAGGATGAATCGTTCATTACTAGAAGGATTTTACCAACAGTGCCTGTATTTTGTTGTCTCTGTGTTACAAGAGGCACAAAAATATCTTCAAACCATTCTTCAAACAGTGTTGAATCAATTTCAGGAGTTTGATATTTGTAGTAAATTGTATCACTAGTTTCACACTTCTTTTCAGGTCCTATGACACAAAGAGGTAACTTATGAGCAGAGTTCGCATTAGTACAAGTAATAATTTTAACAGCAGTTGTATTTTTGTTATCACAGTTTGGTAAACTTTTCCACAATAGGACACTATCTGTCACGTTGTAAATGTTCTCCTGGGTGAATCCCCCTCTCTTGAAAAAATTCCTAAGTTGTTTGGCCACATTCAGCGGTTCTTCACTTGCTTCTTTGGTCTCTTTGATTCCATGTCGATTTTTGAAATGTCTCAACCATCCACTACTAGCTTTGAAATTCATGCTCCTGTTTCTTAGTTGATTGTTGATTTCGAGAGCTTTGGCACAAATGGCAGCGTCTATTGGCACCCCTCCATTCTTCTTTTCCTCTAGGTACCATCGATAGATTAGCGAATCGAGGTCGGTGTTTTGTGCCGTTTTCCTCGTCTTCTTCTCGGAAATTTGGTTCTGACTGTCTAAATTCGAGACGAATTTCAGGATGGCGTCGGCGTTTCGTTTGATGTCTGAGATGGTGGAAGTCCCAATTCCGTACTCTCTGGCCAAATTAGCGCCCCTTCTTCCCTCGTTCAACTGTTGAAGAATTTCGAGTTTTTGTTGGAAGGTGAGCACAACGCGCTTCCGTTTCGACATAGTCGGATAACCAACAGTTCGGATAACGGGACGAAACTGAGCGTTTTCGAACACCACACAGTCTGGAGCTGACGCGTTCAGGGTCGGTCACACGACCAGAGGCAAGAGGGGGGCGTGTATTGATCGGTGAGCGGGCGGAAGGCGAACAGCCCCTCTTGCTGCTCCACCAAGCCAGCCGCCTTCTGTCATGCGAAGGCCCAAAAGAGCCGGTTTAGATTATTTGCAGTCTCGGTGTGTTTGTGTGGCGTGATCGTGTGGATTTATTATCGCTTCCTTACAACATGTGAGTATCGTAATAGCGAACTATTAATAGTTGACGAAAGCTCAGAGCTTTGTGAGGTTCAAGGTGACGGCAGCGTCACAACAAAAGAAACACTCATTATTCGGCGACGTGAACTAGAGTGAAATGCAAATAGGGGGCAGTGAACTTGGTCACTATCACTACGTCAGGATGGAGCTTATTTTCAAGGTCAATAGGCGATGATGACCCACATTTTCGGCCACAAAAAGCGGGTGTTGCTACAGTTACGAACAGAGCTTTTTAGAATTGTATACGTGGAAAATGTGACAGATTTACAGAAACTTTGCTTTTGTTGCGGGATTAGTGGGTGTTTTTCTTTGAGTCACATCGTATCAAGAGTTTTACATATGAATCGGAATAGGTGATAAAAAATTAGCTCTGATTAGAGTGGAAATTCAGCATTTTGAGTAAAAATAATTTAAGAAATACTAGTTATCAGGTAAGTAAGTAGGTATAAACGTGGCAAAAATCAGTTTATTTACTGAAATAAGTAACAAATACAATCAAGTAGAAAATGATAAAATCAGACCACCTGAGAACGTTGTCCTTTGAATATATCCACCGATTCTAAAATTAAACCACTTTCGCTTTCGTATAAATGTTAAATGACAAATTATTGTTTATGTGATTTTTATTCAAATAACTTACAAGAATGCGAGAACAGTTAATTGTTATTAACGAGGTATAAGTTTTTTAAGTAAAAAATCATTGACCAACAGTAATAAGATTCAAACAATTATTTTTTACTAATTCCATTGTTTGGTTCGTGATAAAATATCAGATTTACTGAAATGATCCTCATTATGTTCATCAAGAGCAACACAAAATCATTAATTTAAGATCGAATTGCACTGAATGAACTTGTATCTTTTTCTGCAATTAATTCCAGAAATTGGTTTATTGCTTTTTTGGAATAGCATTTAATTCTGTAGCAAAGAATATGGTAGGTGGCTATCTCCTCATTGAGGAGACGAGCTAAATTATCATACTCACTTTCTGACTACACTTGTTATCAATATTATTTTTGCCCAAGAACGTAAATCTAAGGAACTACGTTTTATTCATAATTATAATACCTCACCCCTTCAATCAGAGCTTTTTATCACGCATGACCAAACAATAAACTGGGTCAAGGTTACGAGACATACGTTATCAATAATTATAATTTGGATGTGGCTGAAGTTACTTGAAGAAAGTTGCGAACAGCACTGATATAACAATCTAACAAAAACTTTGAAGACTGAAGTGCTTTTGACAAAAAATATTTTTGAAAACTGTAGGTACCTACCTACCTATACAGTTTTAGATGGTATAGTTTTTGTCAAAAACTTTGACATAGATATTTTCTCCATTTTAAAAAACAACTTACACAAATTAAGATTAACTTCAAGTAATTCTTCAAAAGTTTTTCCGGTGATAGATTGGATTTTTCTGAACCTTTAAAATTAATAAAAATAAATACAAATTGACGTCAGAATCACGGGTCCACGGGTGATAACTAATACGATTGTATTTCTATAAAATTATGCAAAAATACGTACTGTTTCTGTTTATTTCTGCAAATATTAAAAGGTTTTTATCAGATTTAAAAAGCCCTTTAATTTCTGGAAGAATATAATTTATTAGAAACTTTTAATTACATGCCAATCTTCATAAAATGAAATTTTTAAAAAGTTAAAGTTTCTTATTATAGGCTTTTCTTGTTGGAGATTTTATGTATTTAAAATGCTTTACTAAACATACTTTTTAGACCAAAAGCAATTTTTAACAATAAAACGTTCTTAAATTCGCGAAACATAAAGAGAGAATAAACATAAACAATAATGTCGATGATAAACTGAAAAATTAAGAATAAAATAAAGTATTTGAGAGCAGCTGGAAATAATCTACCTATACATATTGTAATAAAAATGAAGTACCTAGTTCTACTTATACACTTTTTAAACTTTCCTTTCTGGTTACATATTTCACAAAAATTAATTTAAACTTCATTTATTTATGGTTCCATTTTTTTGTTGTTAATTTTTTTAATTTGCAGTTCTATACGGGTCCCATATGTGAATGGATATAAAAAATAATTTTATGGGATATTTTTTCAGAATCTAATAAGAGCTCATAAAATGTTTTAGCGATATTTCTGCAACATTATTGCTAATTATACCAGGTGTTCAAATAAATTCACATTCATTTCAAAATACATAATTTATGATTCACATAAAATTATGTAGGTACCTATACAAAAGTTATCATACTATTTTAAATTTTTTACTATTAATTCTATTGATGTGTAAATGAATAAAAAGTGACTACAGCCCATTTATCTCTGTTGAATCTTGTAGAACAAACATTTTTCCTTATCTCCATTTTCTGTGAAATTCGAAAAAATAAACAAAAAGCTCTCCGCATCCAAGGTCGGTGAAAAAGTTTGTATTTAGCTTTAACCGTCAGACGGGTCCGTAGACCAGTTTAGGTCTTCAGGTAGATTTTTTAAAAGAATTTCTTTGATGTTTGCTTGCCTCCCTTCCGCTAGTGCTAAATCGTTTCAGGTGATAGAATCAGAAACCGGTCGGAAAAGCTTTTAAACACTTCATTGCTCTTCAACTTTAATCCCGATAAATTTACAATTTTATAGATTTTCCATTACCGGGAATTTGTAACGTAATCACAAACAATACATTTCCAACAAGACAATAAGTAAATTATTGTTTACAGCAGCATAACGTTATTATTAACCACGCAATGAATTTAATGAAATATAATCCGGTGGCGGACGCAATTTTGCCTTGTGACATTTTTTCCAAATATCATCAATTTCTACATGCCTGTGGCTGCGTTTCCACGCGTTGGGGAAAGTTCTTTTTAACTTGCTCCCCCTTCGAGTCTCAGCAGGGGTTGATTTTGCATGTGCGATATTCCCCAAAGCAGAATTTTGTAACGATAAACTTCTCTAATCGCCAAAATTATGCTGAAACTTTATAGAGAGAAATGCAGCCGAAGCAATAAATTCCGCAACATAGTCTCCAAAGTTTCTCTTGGAAAAAACAAAGCTTGAATAGAGAGAGAGAGCTAAATTATTTCACTCGATTTTATCTATTGTCGTTTAGAATCTCCGAATTCTGGCACCTGTCTTCACGATTCGTCCCCAAATATCGCAGCTGGTGCTAACTACACAAAAAAAGACTAAAAGCCCTTACGAATAGGGGACAAAACCGAATTTTTCGTCGTGTGAATGTGAGAACTTGTTTTTACGATAGGTACTTAAAAATTTTATAATTAGGGATAATTAAGTACAAGTTACTTCCTGTCGATCATAAAAGTGTGCAAAACGTCCGTTACGTCGATTCAAAACTGATTGTGAAAACAATGTCTTTGTCGAATTTTCGACACGAAAAAGGGAACTTGTTTACAATGTGAGCAACAAGTATTTCCGGTGGAGTTTGTTATGCATAAGAGGGTTTCCTGAGATTTTTACACTGATGTCTGGTTTGCTTACTCCTTAGCAGCATGTTAATTAAGGGTTTTATTTACTTATTTTCTCTCAAATGACCCTCCAACTCTGAAAATGGTTGATAAAACATTTCTGGTGGGTCAACAAGTCATAATTTTTTTTCTTCAACGCATCTTATTTTTCCTCTCGGATTTATCGCAGACTGCGACATCAATAAAGCACCGAGTTCGTGCCGTTTCAAATAAACTAGTTTGCAATTTGCAACTTTGTGTTTTTCTAACACATGGTGGGTAGAAATGAGATCATGCGTCAGTGGTAAAGATTAAACAAGAAGAAAAATTTGAAATGGGCAAAAAATTAATATTGACATTGTCTCAATTACCGCCCCCTATTACCAGAAGATGTTTGAATATCAAAAATTTAATTTTCTTAAGTCTGCCAGAGCAGGTACTTAATCGTGAACAGCTTTTTCTCTTTCTCACTACCACACTAAATCTCAACGAGTAATTAATTCAATTAAATTTATGAAAGAGTATTTCAACATAAAGTTTACTCGAGTGATTTGCATTGTTTCGTCTCCGTGATTCTATTCTGTTTTATTTTGTAAAAGTGAAGTAGTCTTTTAATTTTAAGTACACTCTAGTAATTCAGTAAACAGGAAATTAGAAGTCATGCTGGCTAATCTAAGATTAAAACGATCTATTCAGTATGATGGAGCTCGAAGGCTATTGTTCTTTGAATCACAACGTGAATAATAAAAAATAAGTCAAATAAAAATACAAGGATTATTATAAATCACTTCTTTTTATCTGTATATTTTATTTTTTATCGCTCCCAAAACTTTAGTCAAACAGTGGATTTTCCATTTCTGTGCAAAAGCAGATCGATAAAGAGTTTTAACCTGAATGAAGAAGCTCTTTAGATTATTACAGACCCGGTGTTGCGAAAATCCAAACTCTTGGCTAACGAAACGGTTCTTATTGATTTAATAATGAGATTAGGTCTCGAATTTAGTTTTTTTTTTTCAACCTTGTTCCTAAAAATACCAAAACGAAAACACGTCAAAATTATTTCCATTAGTGTAATTTTTGAACAGTTTGAGACTTTTGAGAAGAATTGGAAATTGGAATAGCAACTCATTGTACCTTTTAGTGTTGGTACCTAAATGAAAATCAAATGAAAATTTAGTTTGTATGTTTGCAGAAATAAATTTTCTGGTAACAGAATACTTATTATGGAAGTGAAAGGTTTAATTACAAATAAACATCCTGAATGTTGTTTGCGACCAAGTACAT